TCGATGACGGACTCCCTAAAGCCGTGAGAGGTCCTGTGTGGTTTCCATCGGATGAATTCGTTTCACGTGCAGTACCGCTCTTGGATCCCAAATGTTCTTCGGGTGAAGGACTTGAACCACGGACTCCGTTAGAGACAGATAAATGTGAATCATTATTCTTGTCAGCGTCTACTGCAGCCCCCGGGTTGTCTTCGTCTTCGTTAGCAAGGATATCTTCCGCCTCGGGTCGAGAAGTTGTGTGAGAAGTGCTTCGAACCTCAGTGGTCAATGGAGGAGCAGGATAGCGAATGAGCGACTGCCCCACGCGATCGTTTGAAATAGGCTTTGGACTGAAGGCCAATTTCATATGGAATGGGTGGGACACACCAGACACGTGGATAGGATAATGGTTCAGTAATGCAAGTGCCTCCAACGCCTCAGATAGTGTATCCCATTCGACCAAACCTGTGACAGAAACAATTAAAAATGAACGACAAATTAAATCGGGTGGGGGGCGCAAATCTGAACACTTCCGGTCAATATCTGTATCTCCAGGGGATCTACCTGCTATAGGTAATTACCGAAGTGGGGTTTGAAACATGATAATACGAGGCATAGAGACAGAACACAATCAGTTTACAATAACCTAATCCATTCGTCAACCCTTCAGTCTAGCTCAGCTACTGAAAACGTTATTTTTGCGCCATACTGCTTTACTTCTAGCTGATATCCGGGATAAACTGTTTGAAGTTGAGGGTTGGTGATATTCAAACCTATTTAAATAAACGAAATGGTCGTAAACCACCAACCAGGATACATAAATCGTCGTTTTGTGTGGTGAATAGTTGTATGCATACTAAACAACTGTTCCATCACACCACAATATCAGGATTTAGGGGACATCTCCCTATATCTGTGGGAAACATAAATATTTCAGAAGAATTCGACTGATGTTGACAGGACAGCTTGTTTTTTTTCGAAACTGCTCGGTCAACCAATGACCAACAGGCACTGACGACATCTGAATAAACTCGGTAACTCTGATTGATCCCAGTATATGGTGGTTAGCTCAGGGATAATATACACCTATTTGGTAGGTCATTGATTCAAACGCTGGATAGACATCATAGAAGAGCTCTAATAAGAGCGAAATACGACCTTGGAGCCTCTCGAATGTATGCATGGATGAGTTGAATATTGGATGTGATAGTCAAGTCTGTAAAATGGACATCCGACAGCAAAATCCATCCATCAAGTTTTATTTTATTTCGGATATATTTTAAAGGCGTGTTGTACGAAATAACTTACCTAATGACGTTTTCTGTCCGTGTTTAGCCGTGAATATCACGATTCGTGGTGGACTTTTAACACCAGCATTTGTGAAAACGGTCGAGACATCCTCAGGCGTGATATATAATGGTGTGTTGAAGAAGTGAAGTGTACGAGACGGCTCGAGTATGCGACTTCGAGATGCAACGATCACGTTGCGAAAACGATTGTTAGGATCATCTAAGTAATAAAACAAGGAAGATATGGTGGTTAGTCTGTTAAACGGATAAACTTGATCTGCTAAGGGGCATGCAAACAATATGCGTCTCATCGATTATTGATAATACGAAATTATGATTAGAACTCGTCGGACTGCCGACAGTCATAAACGCACTGGTTCACGAATTTTAGTAGGATAAAGACACGGTTACACGAGTATACTGCTACTGAACTGAAAAAACAGATATGAGTAAAAAGTAGTCCACAAAAGTATAAATGATGAGACAACAGGATATCGATAAAAAAACCTAATAGGACAATATACGTGAAAAAATGGGCCTGCATTCTGTACAGGACTCGTCGAGTGTTAGGAAATGGAAGTCAAGCTTTAAGGCTAGTCCGCAAGAAATTCAGGTGGCGCTTAAACACTANCTAGCGCTGATAGGACCACACACCAGTCAAACGCGGTTAAAATGAGTCAAGAAGCTAATATGGAAGGTTTAGAATGAGAAATTTTCAACACCCATGAGCCTTTAGGAGGCTACCGAACACGGTAGTATAAAGCCTGAACTCGCCTACATCCAACACGGTCATACTGCAGGACTTCACTTCCTCATTTTGCTAGAACCTGTGATAACTACCTCAGTATGGTGGGGGGCGGGTGTCTAGGGTTGAGGGTGGTCACCCCTTGCACCANTTGCACCACACGAAATGCTCCCATACGACCAAGCATCTCAAACATCCTCTGCTGAGGAAGCCCTACCCACTACCTTCTAGTGGTGATGTTTTCCCACAAAAGTGAGAGGACGAAAAGCCGACAGCCGGGGATATAACGGGGTTGGCGGACCACTGGTAGGGGAGTTGATCAAAAACCCTGATTCCAAACCAACCAAGAGGTAACGCACATACCACACATTCCCGCTTGTGGCAGTGGTCACCGGCTCGATTGGGCATCGAAGTATATTGGGTACCTTGGACGTTTGACCCCGTCCAAAGAGCGTATGATTCGATGAACTGGACACCGGGTCCCAATGAACTGCGGTTTTTACACATCGCCCCTCTGCCTTGCGGGACTGGTTTTGGCTAACCGAAGGCTCCGGTTGTGGATTCCTCAAGAAAATTCACCTGCACTAGCCTGAGCAACCTGGCAGAATTCTACCCAAAAGCTAATTATGAAATGATTATTTTTTGTCATGAAGATTAATGCGCCGTAAGTTGTTTGACACGCAGTTTGGACTCAGAATCTTGTAGAGCATATACAATAATTATATCCGACTTGGTCCAGACTACGCATTGAGGACCACGATTCGATATGGAAGAGTACTATCACCCACAGTACATCAAGACTCACTCATGTAATTTTTCATGACTGGTGATCCATCTTCCAAAACGCCAAGATTTTCATGCTCCGTCAATTCAGGTTGTTTGCTGTGATAAAACTGAATGGTTCGATCAAATATAGTGATTGAATCATAATAGCGATGAATGAGATCTGCTACTTCCGCAGTGCCAACTTGGATCATGGCACATCCGGGCCGTGTTTTGAGAAACTTTATACGAGCAATATTCCCATATAAACAAAGTAAGTTGAATAAGTGGTCACAGTTCAAATGAGTGGGTAAGTTGCAAGCCATCAGTACTACTCCTTCCATGGACTCGAATACGGACACATCTGTCGGATGGGCGGTACTTGAAGTCGAGCTTAAATTCGAAGTCGCGTGCCCCAAACCGATCCCCTTGGGGGAAACCGGATGAGTGGAAGGTGGAGTGGGCAAAATAACTACTGTTGCGCTGGCTGGAAAAGCAGTCTGTACGGGGGGTCGTACTGCTGGTCGTTGATTAGGTCCATTATAGCCCATGTACGGTGCGGGAGCACCATACGCCCCCGGATGTGGAGCGGGCATTTGTCCATACATCGGTGGCGGGGCATTCGGTGGAGGAGGCATGTATGGTGGCATGGCGTAGTATCCCATTTGAGTATTTGTAGCAGAAGGCACCATATGCGGCGGATAAGAATGCGCGGGTTGAACGTACGGTGTCGGTGGAACGCACGCTGCAGGAGCTGGTAAAGCCGAAGGTGGAGGCTGCACGAGCGGCGAAGACATTGTGTTGGCTGTTGTTGCGGAGATGCTCAACAAGGTGCGCTGATTAGCGGAATTATTTAGGGGACCTTGAACACCCGCGTTTGGACCAGTGAAATCCCAGGACTCCGAATCATTCTTGGTGACATGTACTTTCGGAATCTGTGAGTAAGTCACCGTCAAGCTGCAACAACCGGAATATATATCTGCACCGTCCAGCTGTTGTTTGACAGCTTTGGCCTCCTCGATTGACTGAAACTCCACAAGAGCTTCTAAAGAACGATCTACATTTTTCTTGCCAATGAAAATTCTTTGAATCTGACCGTGTGGGGCGCAAATAGCCTTTATGACATCAACCGTAATCGGATAGTCAGCTGCAGCAATGTCCAAGTGTAAAATACGTGTTGGTTCGGATGTTGTGGCCGGTTTGTCGCTCGGTACTTTAGCCTCATTGGACATAGCAATGGCCTCCGATGAAAACTCCAATCTCACTATACTGGTGCCAACAAAGAACGGGTTGGTCTTTGCCATATGCACCAGACGTGTTGGTGTTGAGATCTCACAAAATTCAACCAGAGCGGCTCGACCATTGCAAACAATTTTTGTCCTTTTAACTTGACCAAACCGAGCGAACAAACCCTGTAGTTCTTGCTCGTTACAACCGCCGGGCAGCTCACAAACCACGATAGTGCAACTTGGTTGAGTGGTAATCAAATAAGATATATCTGGGGCCAAATGTAACTGACTGGGAACTGTACCCGTCGTATTGTAAAATTGAGCCGTGGCAACTGCAAGAGCACCGTAACGACCACGCTTTGGAGCGGAGCTCATTTGTAAACAGTATATCACTGAAAAGGAGGAAAAAATTCATGTTAATGGAAAAAATGCCGTAGTCGTTCTGGGTTCTCGCCCATTCTGTGATAACGTTGTACTACAACAACTATCACGAAGAAACTTCATTCTGACTTAATGTGAAGGCTTGTGCACCTCTGACTTAACGAGATACAAGGAATGACTTATCAGGTAGAAGACAGATAGAGATCAAAAATGCCCAGCACCCTGGTCCCTCATGTTGGACATCTGACTGAAATTGACATTCCAGTGGGTAAAAATGATGGAGTAGTTTATTTAAGTAACTGCATATCAACTTCGCGTTACTCGCTGCCCTGCAATGAGGTCATTGTCAGAACCACAGGCTGAACTTGAAAAGCCTAATTATTTTCCCCTAGTGGCTGAACACCCTAGCGGTACCCGGCCATCAAACTCAAATGCACGTACAAGGTATAAAGAATTTCACACGGTCATCGCGCAAGATAATCAGGACCGAGTTACCCATTGCAGTGATAAATGGGCAACTGCTTACAAATCCCAATCTTAGTTCAACTCTTTGTCTAACATACCCTACCTTTCCCTTCCGCTTGTTTGTCACTCGCAAAACTCGTCGCCAAGTGGAACGGTAAGTGCTGACCAATAAATGAAATGCCAATTTCGCAAAATATTCTGAAACAGATCATTTGAATAGATAATCAAATATTATGAATAGAAACAATTCAATTCAAAACAGTTGGCTTATAAAGTAAGTTCCTCTCAGAAATAAATCGGCTGCCACAATATTCATAAGCCAAAACGGAAAACTAGCAGAACCCGACAATGCCCGCCACGCATGGAAATAATTTGAATAGGCCGCGCAGTCAGTTTAGTTCAGTTCAGTTCAGTTGCACAGGACGAATATGGCTCTTGCCAATCGAGCG